ACCACCGGCGCATCCACACTGAGCCCAAACGCTACCAGTGCCCCGACTGCGGGAAGTCCTTCAGGGTGTCCACAGCACTCATCTGCCACTGCCGCATCCACACCAAGGAGAAGCCGTTCTCCTGCCAGCAGTGCGACAAGCGCTTCTCCTCCAAGTCCAACCTGAGGCACCACATGAAGGTGCACTGGAAGAGCCCGCTGCTGTCCAGAAGCCGGCCGTCGGCCTTCCTCGCCGTCTCCTCCAGACCTTTCTGACCATCCGGCCTCGCAGTTCTCCGAGCTCGGACCGCATCGTCTCCTCCAACATGTTACGACCCTGCTCAAAAGCCGCAACATAAAAAAGGCGACAAATACCACACCGGACTAGGTGTGGCCAATTAGCACCGTGTGAGCACATTGAGGAGATTAGGGGCGTAACAAACAATATGACCGTATAATTCAACCTCCATTTATTCCTTCCGGCTGAAATCTGAACTAAGATCCACATTCAGGAAAGTTTCCCCAAATCCAAAGTGCTTCATTTGTGATGTCACAGTTCAGAGGGCGAATCAGCAGAGATCCTCACGTACCTGTTAGCTGCCTCGGCTGTTATCCTTACTTTAAACTAACGGAGAGCTTGGTGCTCATTGATTGGCTGGGCTAACCGTGTCAGACTTTTGGTTTACATCTGGTTTTGATTTCTTCAGTTCCTGTCTGGTGAGATTAGGGCACCAAAACCTGATGAGGCTGAGGTTCAGCTTAGATTAGCTAGACACAGATGTCCTGTGGACGAGGTGGCTCGGCCAAGCCGTAAATATGGTGGTGAGGATGGTAAATGGCCTGTATTTGTAAAGCGCTTTACTAGTCCCTACGGACCTCAAAGCCCTTTACACATTCAGTCATCCACACATTCACACACGAGGACTTATATGATCTTTTAACAACCTGATGACGTTTGAAGTGGCTGAGTTTAAGCAGCGGCCTGTAGTTTGTGTAGTTACCAGGCAACCTGATGATCTTCATATTAGCCAGCGTATAAATGATGTCGTCCGTTGGTTTCTGAATATTTGAAACCTCGGTGTTGGCGCCGTGTTGGGTTTGAAGTGGCCATGTTTGAATAACAGCTGGGTTGTTATCACAGACGGAGTTACCTGCTAACCAGTGCTCAGTAACATCCAATGAACAATCTCAGATTTCACTGTGCACCTAAACTCTTGCCCCGCCTCCTCAGACCGTCTCTTAGCAGCAGACGTTTTATTGGTCTGAAGCCTCACAGACAGCTAGCAGCCGCAGCCGCCTGTGTCACCATCCATCTGTCAGTCAAAGAGGCCACGCCCCCATACATAGCAGGCCACATAAAACTGGAGCCATGCAGCTGTTTTGTTGTCTCTAGTGGACGTTAGAGAAAGTGCAGGTCGCCTGCTTCGCCCAGGAAGTGTAAAACTAAATGTTGAGCATTTCCAGCATTTCTTTGATAGAATATTTCATCATGTTCACCAACTGCAGCAGATTTATGCAAGTCAGAGGAAACTGAAACCCTCACAGCTGGTGTTCAGGTTTGCTGTGTGACGATGACCTCTCCGGACTTTTGCTCCTGGTGGGTCCTCGACTTCCTCCCCGGCGATACTAACGGTGCTCAGGTCTTTGACCCCGCCTCAGTCGGACCTCTCTGATGGATGGCAGCAGACACCAGGTGGATTGTGGGTCTTTTTAAAAGATGTTCTGTGTTTCTGATTATTGCTAAGGATGAAAACTCAGCACGTGTGGTCTGTGAACTTCCTGGAGGCCTCTGTTCACCTTTCTCCTCACCTGGTCCCCAAAATAAAATCCAGTTAAATATGGAGGCCGAGTGCTGTCACTTCACAGGAGAAAATTGATCTTGTAATAATAATAATTTGTTTCTTATAATGATGTGAAGTTTTCTATTTTTTTCTTTGTAATTATAACATCAAGTAACTGTTAAGGTTTAGATGTTTGTAGACGAGCTCCGGTGTGTAAATTAAAGCTCTGATAGGTACTTAGGTGATTACTATTAGAGAAATAAATGACGTCATACTGTGTGATAATCTGGGGAGTAATTTGTGAGATT